ACCCCCCCAGCCACACCCCCCCCCCCCCCCCCTCATGTCCCCCTAGACACAACCACCTACACACACACACCCAGGTCCCCCCCAGACACAACCTCCCACACACACACACACACACCCCACAACCACCACCCCCACATCCATGTCCCCCTAGACACAACCACCTACACACACACACCCAGGTCCCCCCCAGACACAACCTCCCACACACACACACACACACGGTCCCCCAGGCACAACCTCCACCACACACACACCAATGTCCCACCTAGACACAACCTCTCCCCCGCTACACACCCATGTCCCACCCAACACAACCTCTCCCCCACACACACATCCATGTCCCCCTAGGCACAACCACCTACACACACTCCTCCTGACTGTCCTACAAACCAACCCTTGCTCTCTCGCACACACATAGGTTGGGATTTCCAAAGGACCCGATGGAATTCAATGGGATCACGGCACCTAATTCCTTTAAATCCCTTTGAAAACCCCAGATTTAATGGACACTTGGAGGCTTTGAAAATTGCCCCGTTCAGCCCCAGGTTTCTCCCCTTGTGTTTTCTGCCCTGCTGCTCTAGCAGGAGCTCAGGGCACCACAATCAGTCCCTCAGCAGCCAAATGCAGCGATGCCACCAGAGGGTCCGAGACTCCAAGCTGGAGATAAGCGTGTGGCTTATCCCCGTCGCTGGCACATGGCGGCCGCTGCACCAGACCTGGCTGTTGGGCCATCTATCCTGCAGCGGCCAATGATGCTTCACAGGAAGGAGGAAAAGCCCATAATGCACCTGTCTCACAGCTGCCATGCTGTAGCTGAGGGTGGGGCGGGGCAGTAACCCTTCCTGACCCCTGTGCTGACAGTTGACACCCTGAAGCATGAGAATGCACCGCTACAAACTGACCGCCGCACGGCCCTTATTCGTGGGACCCAAGTCATCGATGGGCGTGTTTAGGCAAGGAAGGGCTGCAGGGCAAAGCACTCCTGGAGTTAAACCCAGCCCTACAGTGCCTGGTCACTGCTGGTCGCCAGAGCTCGGCTCTCCTTACCCGTCCATGCTGTGAATGGGGCTGCTGGTGGAGATGGGGCTGGGGGGGGGCGAAGGAGTTCATGAAGGCCCCATTCCTCATCGGCGTCTCAGTATTGTAAGCCTGCGGAGTTGGGGGGCTCTGGGGCGCCCCGCCACCCCCCGCCGCCTTCCGGGCCACTGACTCCACATAGCTCCTGGGCCCTGGGGGGCGAAAGGAAAGGAAGGGTGAAGCTGGCGACTGACCCGGGGAGGTTGGCATGCACTTGCCCTTTGGCTGCAGCCCAGGATCGGGGCCGATCACAGCCAGTGCCCGAAGGTCAACCACAAATCGATAACCCCGTGGTGGCCCCAACAGCTGATCTGGGAAATCTACTGCATCCCCATCATCCCCCTCCCCAAGCAATGAATTAAATCCCCCCCCCCGCCCCACTCGCTAGGGTGTTGCCAAAACAGATGCAACAGGGGGCCAGCCTATGCATTGCAAAGAAGGTCCGGGCTGCCGCTGAGCACAGGCAATCCCGACTAAGCCAACGGGCATTGCGGGAGCTCAGAACGGGGCCCCGCGAGAGGCCATGGATGTCCCGTAGGCCGGGTCACAGCACTGCAATGTCAGATCAGCCTCGGGCCTGTGAAGCAGCCCCCGTCCCCCTCTGAATCGTCTTCCCCCTTCATTCCCCCCTACACGAGTCTTGTGCAACGCACAGCTTCGTCCTGTTACACATTGTAGGCACCGCCGTGCCCACGAGTAGCCAGTCCTCGGCATCCTTTAAAAATCACACCCGCCAGAGGTGCAGCTGGCTAAACAGAATCACCGCATGCCTGGCCGGACGTAACCCCTGGCCCACCTCCCTCTAAAATGAGACTCCGACTGCGTCGGTTTCTGCTGCACGCCCAGTCACACGAGGTGCCCAAGGCAGGCAAAACCTGGTGTCTTTTTAAGGTGCAAAGGCCAGCTGCAGAGGTGGCTTCTCGGACAGGGCGCGCCTTAATTCAGATCCAGCCAAACTGAACTTCCTACGGAGCGTACGTCTAGACTGGAGCTGGCGGTGTAACGAGACATACCCAGCTCCAGTTTAGACGTGCCCTAGTCCCCCAACCTCGAGGCATTTATCTCCAAGTATGTTCACCAACAGAGGCACGAGCTGGCTCTCACCCTTGCATGAACCTTCACGGGGTTATCCCGAACTTCCCCTCTTGGGCCCGCAGCGAGCTGGACTCTCCCATCTCCCATCTCCCACCCCCAGGGTCTCTCTCTTACGAGCTGCAGGTGAGAAAAGCAAACAGGAGCCGCCCCTGAGCAGGCAGTTAAAGGCCCATCTCTGCCCGCTGCATTGCCGAGGGTTATCTCGGCCTGTCGCCCCCAGGGCTGGTGCCTCGGGATGGCCTCGTTCCATTTCTGGAAGCGGCTGGGTTCGGGGTGTCCCGAGAGCACCAGCAAGGGGAAGGAAGGGCAGTTCCTTGGGGTGCACTGGTGCACGCTGGGGGCGAAGTGAGGTGGCTTCTCTGAACCCCAGGAAGCAGCAACAATCGTCTCGAGAACCGAAACTCGCTATTGTGTTGAACCACGAGCCCAGGTCCGGGCCGTTCGGCAACACGCATTTCCCTGCAACCCGCAGGACAGCTGCAGGGCAACCATCTGCAGTGGCCCATCTCCATCCTCTCAAACAAAGGTAACTCCCAAAGCTGAGGGGAGAAACCTTGCTACAGTCTCCCATCCTTCCCACCGCATCGCTGCGTGGCAGGAAGGATGGCAGAACCAGTCCCCTCGACGCCAGAGGGGATGGAGCCCGACGGAACTAGCCGGCTTTCCGACCGGCCAGTGCAGGGTGACAACCCTCGCCCGGCCCCTCTCTTTGGAGCCTGCGAGCCACGAACTCGCTGAACAGCCACTGGCCCAGGTCACCCCCGCCGCGAGCCGTGGGGGCTCCGGACGCGGTCACTCTGCTCAGACAGCAGCGCAGTTTCCAGGCTTTGGAGACCTGTCCCTCTTTGCCCCCGGAGGTGGCTTCGCAGAGACTGTTCCCAGAGCTCTGGTCCCTCCCCCTTCAGCCCCACAAGGCTTCCGTCTCCTACCCCCTTCCACACTCACCCCATTCCTCCTCTCCCCCCTGCCTGGCTCCCCCTTTGGCCCCAGTCCCCCCGGGTATAGACACCCAGTCCTTGCCTGCCTCCCTTCCCCTCTTCTCCGCAGCCCTCCTCCGAGGGAGCCGGCAAATGAGCACTGGGATTGTTCCCGCCTTTCCTAACGGAGACGCCCCGTTCTCATGCTCCACTGGGCCCTGCCACCATGGCTGTCCTACTTTCCGCCTACACGGGGGACCTTGCCCTGACCCTGCCTTCGCCCGGGCGGCAGGGCTGCACAGTGGCCTGGTCTGAATGCATGAGCGAGTCCAGGAGGCTCGGGAAAATATACCCACCCCCGCCTCCCGCCCATCCTCGTCAGTGCTAGCCCCGTCTCCACATGGCCCACGGGGGGCTCCTGCTAATGCCATCCACACCACATCAGGGCCTGGCATCACCGAGGGCTGGTGCCAAGCCAGGCGTGGCACAGCTGTGCTGTCACTGACCTGCCTTCCCGCTTCTCCCGGCCAACACCCAGCGTGAATTTCGGACTCTTCCCGAAGGAAACGAGGTGGGGGGAGGGTGTTATACCAGGGACCCATATGACGTGAGTGGCATTGCCCGCAAAGACCTGAGGTTCACCCACCAGCCGGCCTTGCCTCCTTGTCTCGCAAAGCCTCATGTCTAAGAGCAGGGCTTTTCCGGCCTTTTCATTCTGTGGCCACTGCAGCAGAGATCCCCTCCTTCCCTGGACCCTTCTCCCCAGGGCCGGCTCCAGGCACCAGCCCAGCAAGCAGGTGCTTGCGGCGGCCAAGGGGAAGGGGCGGCACATCGGGCTGTTCGGTGGCAATTCGGCGGCAGGTCCCTCTCGGAGGGAAGCACCTGCCGCCAAATTCCCGCCGAAGAAAAAAGCGGCGCGGTGGAGCTGCCGCCAGAGTGCTGCCGATTGCAATTGGGATCGCGGTCTTTTTTTTTTTCCGCCGCTTGGGGCGGCAAAAACCCTGGAGCCGGTCCTGCTTCTCCCCTCCTACAATTCACTGGAAGAGCCAGTCCTGCGTAGGCGAGGTCGGGGCTAAGGTAACCCCAGAGATCTCTGGCATCTCTAGTGCAGTGGGCAGCGTACGCAACACACCGCTGGAAATAAAACAGATCTCTACGATGATTAGTTAGTGTCAGCACGGCTCCTGAGTGGCTAAGAATCATAGACTCATAGACTTCAAGGTCAGAAGGGACCATTATGATGGTCTAGTCTGACCTCCTGCACAACGCAGGCCACAGAATCTCACCCACCCACTCCTGTATCAAACCCCTAACCTATGTCTGAGCCACTGAAGTCCTCAAATCCTGGTTTAAAGACTTCAAGGTGCAGAGAATCCTCCAGCAAGTGACCCGTGCCCCACGCTGCAGAGGACGGCAAAAACCCCCAGGGCCTCTGCCAATCTGCCCTGGAGGAAAATTCCTTCCCGACCCCAAATATGGCGATCAGCTAAACCCTGAGCATGTGGGCAAGACTCACCAGCCAGCACCCAGGAAAGAATTCTCTGCAGTAACTCAGATCCCACCCCACTAACATCCCATCACAGCCATTGGGCATATTTAGCGCTATGCCGCCCACTGCACTAGAGATGCCAGAGATCTCTGGGGTTATCTTAGCCCCGACCTCGCCTGCGTGGGCCTGGCTCTTCCAGCGAATTGTAGGAGGGGAGAAGGGTCTCTGGTGCAGTGGCCCACAGAATGAAAAGGCCAGAGCAGCCCTGCTCCTAGGTTAGAAACCTTCGTCTAATTTCAAGTCTAAACTTCCTGATGGCCAGTTTATATCCATTTGTTCTTGTGTCCACATTGGTACTGAGCTTAAAGAATTCCTCTCCCTCCCTGGTATTTATCCCTCGGACATATTTCTAGAGAGCGATCATCCCTCCCCTCAGCCTTCTTTTGGTTCGGCTAAACAAGCCGAGCTCTTTGAGTCTCCTCTCAGAAGACAGGTGAGCAGCCCCTATTATTCTCTTACCCAGTCTCCTCCCACCCCGGCCCTGGTCTATTTGTCTGATTGCCTGTAGCCTGTGAGCTCTTTGGGGTAGAGGCTGCCAGGTACCGTCTGCTTGTACCGCACCTAGCGTTCGTTACCCTCTAGGGCACAAGAACACTGGCGGTCAGACAGAGCCTCTCTCTTTTCCTTTCAGGGCCTGTGCTTCCCTGCACTAAAAACCCAAGCAAGTGCCCAGTTTTTTTCAGAGACGGGAGTGGGGAATGTGTGAGTCAAGCCCTTTGGGTATAACCTCCCGGTTCAGCCCTGCCCCGCCCTGCATAATCGGATGGGGCAGGAGCTGACCTCTGCAGGGAGCTGGGATAATCTTTTCATACAGAACATTCCAGGTGGGTTTCGGTATTTTGGCCGAACCCAGCACTTGGGTCGGCTCGGCCTAGGGCCAAAGTGCTGCTTAGGGTGACCTGCAGAATGGGGGTAACACACCTTCCCCCGCTTCAGTAATTAAATCCCGCTCCCTGCCCCGACCAAAATTAGCCAGTCCAAGTGCATGAGTCAGCCTTCAGGAGAAAGGGCTGCAGAATGCCAGCATCGTCTCTTCATGCAGAGCGTCTAGTGACACAAGGAAAATCAGGGTCATGGGCAAAGAAGAGAGGAGGTGGGTGTGCCAAGGTTGGGGGCAGAAAAGAGAATTCCGCATATTTTTTAGATTAAAAATGTAGATCTTGTCTGTTCTGATTTTTCTGGAAGGCTCTATGGATGACATCATAAGAACAAAGGAAGAGACACATGAACAATTGAGGGCGGGTGGGAACACACCCCAAGCAGAGCTCGTTATAACCCTAAAAATGCCAGAGATACAGCCTGATACATACAGGGTATTATTTGTAAAGGGCCCTCACTCCATGCTCTGACACTGCAGGTAGAAATTCAAATATTCAGCAAGTCAGATCTGGAGGAACATCCAGTCAATTAGAAATTGAAAATCTGCACCTGCGATTTTATGCTCATAAGTAACTGTCCCTTGCAAAACTGGAAGCCGACTTCAAAAGATGGCTGTGTGTGTGTGTGTGTGTGTGTGTGTGTGTGTGTGTGTGTGTGTAAAAAGGTGCTGTTTAAACATAAATCAACAGTGCAGAAATTCAATTCAGACAGTCTGACTGGAGTAGTGCAGAAAAAACTGCAGCTCCTTTCCATTCTAATGTACTATATTATTGGCCAAATTCTCTATCCCATTATCTAGCAGGATCAGGCCATGGAAAACCCCATTGCAATGTACACGCGGAAAGGAACCCAGGTACAGTTTCCACAGTGTCAAGCTAAACCCTGATTAGCTTTACACATCCGATGAAAACAATCACATTGCGATAGGCTCAGTCCCTCCCTTCCAGATGTGCAGCTACTGACTCTCCAGGTGCACCATTCTGTGAGTGCCAGGACGAATCCATCCCAGGTTGCACTTCTGTGAGCCCATCCCTTGGCTTTGCACAACGCACAGAACAAGCCGGACAGTTAAGGAGAGTTGCGGGGGCCAGAAGAGGATAGAGAACAGATGCTCACGCCGATTAAGCGTACAAAGCCTACTGCGTGCTACTGACCAAGATCTCCGCTTCAGAAGGGCTTTCCTGTCCAAATCCCCCCACCCCTCTACGTTGGCCAGGATTGCTGGGAGCAGCAAGAACATTTATACCCTCCAATATCTGGGAATCGCACCCTCGTTCCACCCTCAAGGGACACAATGCATAAGACATGGTTGGTTTTTTTCAAAGCAAATTGTTGAAACACCTTGATAAACTTCCTCCCCATTTTAAAGCTGGGAAATGAATCAAAGAATGGTTATGCTGTTTCTCAAGGCTGCGCTGTGAACCAGGATCTGACACAGAAGTAAAACTCAGTGACTTCTAGCTGATAACTGGGTGCACAATCACTGTACCATGCAGCCTTCCGTAGGCTGTGATATGCAATTCTCCAGTGGCTAGCACGTTCATTCTAAACGTAGATGGGGAAAAAACTGTGAAAAATTTCAAAACTTCGTTATTTTTTTTGCATTTTTGCACGGAGTTCAAAAAACAGAGACATTTTTCCATTTCCCAAATTTGTAGGCGCATTTTTCCCCTCCCTTTTATCAAAAGCATTATTGAAAAGGCCACCAAAATGTTTCATCTGCTGAAAACTGGTTTTGGGGAAACAGAAACTTTTTACAAAAGTGTTAGAGAAAAAGTACGGGAAAAAAAGGCACAAAACCCACAACATAGTGACAAGATCAAAGACATCGTTTTAGGCAGGGAAGGGCATTTTTCTATCAAAAAAAATTTCTTTCAAAAAAAGTCAACTCGCTCAGCTAATTTCTTCCTCGTGGCAAAAGCATTGGTCCTCTTTCAGGAGCCAGAACATGCTAGGTTTTAAAACACAACACTTCAAATGATCTGAGTCATGCAGAAAATGGGTGAAAGAATGTTGTAATGGCCAGGCAGTACTGCCAACCCAAAGTGTTCAAAGCGCATGAGTCAGACTCTAAAACCCATGAAATTGGCTTTAAAAGAATGTATTTTAAAAAATCTCATGTCTTTTTTTATTTCCCTTCTGGTTTTGAACTGTAGAGGTCACATTTAAACCTGGTCTGCAAAGCAATTTTGATCAAAACAAAAAAGTTTTCATTTTCATCCAAATTTTTCTTCAAAGGGATTTTGGGGTTATGTCAAACCACCGAAAACCTGAAAAATCAAACATTTGTCTGTTTCTGGCTGAAAAAAATTCAGCCAAACTCCCAAAATATTCTGTTTTGGGATGAACATTTTCCTTCTTTAAAATGAAAAATGGGCGGAAAATGGTTGAAAAATGATATTAACCACAGAATATGCCACGTTGACCAAAATGTCACGTTCTCGTTGAAAAACATTTTGAACAATAACAAAAATTGCAACCCGCTCTTGCCACATTTTTAGGCTTTTCTCTGCAGCCACGAGGACGAGAAACTTTGTTTTTTTAATTAAAGCTGAAATTGTCCTGTAATCTCCTGACTCCAAGAGCTGGGTCTTTAAGGCAAACACCACAATAAAGATTTGTGGTAAAATCATGAGAGGTTGCCAAGCCTGCTTTGGGTGCAGCAAAAATGGACAGATTCTTCTGAAACTCCCCAGAGAGGTTCAGACGGGACTGAAATACACACAAAAAACGCAGCCCAAGGAGTAACTCAGAAGTGACTGAAAACAGGACAGTGCCATCTCAATCACAGCCTCACCATCTGGCTGCAACACAGTAACTAGGAAAGCACGGATTGTGTAGGCGTGTGGATTCCAAGCTCTTAACTTCTGTATCCACAAGGCGCTTGCTTATGTTTCGTTTGAAGCTAATGTCCCCTACCTATAAACACTGGCACGTTCTTGTTTAACAATGTTTGCCATTCCGCTTGGAGAGGCAGCAGCCACCGAAAGCACAAACTGCACCGCAAGTGAACCTCTTCTAAAGCACGTCGCGGCATCTGAAACTCGTGAACTTGAGCTCTGGGTCTCTGCTTATATTTTCACTCCCCTCGGGTCAGCAAAAGCACAGAGCTTGGGAGTCTTACGGCCTTAGGGTATCAGTCACAGAAAGGAGTCGCTGAGAACTGACCTCTGTGAAATCTATCCCTCTGGTCACAATGGGAGCTCCTGGGGGCTTAGCAGTTAAGGAAATGTGGCCCTTTATTTTGGGACCTGAATTGGAAATGAGCTCTTTGAAAATCGGAAGCTCGTGCTGCCGTCTTCACTGAGACTAGCTGGAGGGAAGCTGGCTTGGGCAGGTTAGCCCATGCGCAGCTTTTGCCATGTAGACATACTCTAAGCCCTATTGAAAGTCAATGGTTCTCCAACGGTTCCACAACCAGGATGTGGCAGTCCGGCCTGGTGGGTAGGACCAGGAGTCATGCCTAGTGGTGAGAGCAGGAGTAGGAGCTGGTGGCTGGAGCAGGAGTCAAGCGAGGGGTCACAGCCGGAGTCAGAAACCAGGAGTTGGGCCTAAGGTCAGAGCTGGAGTCAGGGCCAAAGGTCAGAGCACAAGAGCAGCGTCTGTTGTCGCAGCAGGCCAGGTGCGTGTAGTGCCCCCAGGGTTTATACTGTATGGATCACACCTCTGCTACCGCTACCTGGCGGTGGCCTGAAATGTCACTCACCCGGACCCTGCAAACCCGGGTTCTAGTCCTCTCGAGCCTTACGCTCTGCCACTTTTGAAAACGGGACTTAGGCGCTTATGAAAATTTCCCCTTTCACCCAGGTATGTCCCTTGGCTGCCTACACATGGAGGGAAGCACGGATCAAGGTGAAAAGAACAGTGGTCAGCCTCAGTACTTCCCCATTGTGGGGGGTGCAGGCAGGACAGAGAGCAGTGTACCCCACTGCTGCGGCTCTATCTCATGGCACCGTCCCGACTGGGTTTCAGAACGAACCTCTGCAGAAGCCAGTGCAGTGACCTCCCGGCACACTGGGGTGGGAACGGCACTCCAGGAAGTACCGCCTGCCAGAAGGCAGTGCGACAGGAAGTGATCCGAGAGCACAAGGAACAGCGATTAGCAGAGGCTGAAGTGCCACTCCTGGATATTTGATCATTTTCCTGCACACTTCAGTTTCAGGCAGCTCTACCCTGGATTTATTTGCTTCGAGATTAGCTCCTACGTATAACTCCCTGGCGGGCCGCACTGCGGTACAGTCCTGTATGCACTTTTGACCCTTCTGCATACCACACAAATCAAGCCAACCAGATGTCTCAGCATTAATGAGCTTAGCAGTTCAGCTTCTCTTTTTGGCCAAAAGAGTTCGCATGAATAAAGAGAAAATATCCCTTCTTACCTTCATCAGATTCAACTACTGCCTCCCCATCTAGCTCTGAGGGGGAAAGACGGGAGATGGAGGAGCAAGGCAGGGAAGGACAGACAGTGGAAGAGAAGGAAACACGATGATTCAAAGGGAAGAAAGAGAGAGAGAGAGAGAGATCTATGTTAATGTTCTTTGCTTTTTCATCCTGGTAAATACCACCTGAGCTGCCACAGAAACAGGAAAGAGGTCCAGGTTTTTTAAAGTATTTAGGTGCCTAAAACCCATTGATTTACCACTCACCTGGCCCTTAGCACTCACCTGGCAGTATCATTCCTATGGCTTCACCGCTAACCTTTCCCTACTGACAAGCCCTAGGCAGGAAGCGGGGTTATGTCCAAACGGGATGTTGTTATTAATTATTATTCTGATTCCCTCCACCCTTTGAGAAGCCATTGGCCTTCCCTGTTCAGACGGCAGGTCTGGGGCCTACACTGATTGGCTCTCCGTGTGCTGAGAAAACCCCACTGGGAACATGCCTAGTGCTGCTGGTTTTCCATCCGATTCTTATGGGCATGCATCAGCCTCTCTGCTGTTAAACTCTCTGCTGCTCCACATCTCTCGCCTGGCTGTAAAAATCCTGGCGGCTGAAAAGCTGGTGTCTACAGCCCCAGAACTGGTCCCCCAGGGGGCTTTCCTTATTGTAAACTCTAGTCTCTGCTTCTCTCTGACAGCGATTAGCAGGATAGACACAAGGCTCCTGACAGGCCGTAAAGGAAGCTCTTGAAAGCCTGTGAAGGGGAGGGGCGGTGCTGGTGAGCTGGGATCAGTCTGGATTAGAAGACAGCTCCTGGGCTCTGGTATCTGTCCCCGAGACAGCTGTCACAGGCCAGGACCTGGGGATTCACGCAGAGACAGAGGATGCTCTGGGTATTGTTTTAACTGGCAGGTTGCACTTCCTCTAGCACCAGCTCTCTTGAACTGCGCCGAGGTGAGACCGCTACAGAAAGGCGGAGAGAGTGAGGGAGAAACGAGGAGTCGGGGTGGGGGGGGAGCCATAGACAGCCAAATCCCAACAACCTCATCCACTCCTTCAGTACAGCTCCCAGCAGGGGCCGCTGACCCTGAGTAAGGACCGCGGGTTCTCACCCAGACAGAGAGGGTGACGTAGAAACCAAAGCGCTGGTGGTGATGGGCGACCACTTTACCGGACAGCATGTCCCTTGCCTTCTTGAAGCTTGTTGTTTGATAACGTAGGACTAGCCAGCCTGGATCACACCCCCCATGTCCAGGGAGGCCAGTGACAGTAGTCAGCACCAACTGCTTCAGAGGCAAATGCAAGGAACTCCTATGGTATGCAGCTATGGGACAACCTGCCCAGAGGGATGAGTGTAACCTGGTTCTAGGCCTGCAAGGGCCCTCAAGAGGTCATCTAGCTAGCCCATCCTTGGATCTTGGCAGGAAGTCGAACTAGATGACCCTGGTGGACCCTTCTAACCCTTTGGTTCTATGACCCCCCTGCGCTAAGGCAGAATTTAGTATACCAATACATACAGATCACTTGAGGATTACCCTGTTCTGTTCATTCCCTCTGAAGCACCTGGCATTGGCCACTGTCAGAAGTCAGGACACTGGGCTAGGTGGACCTTTGGTCTGACCCAGTCTGGCCGTTCTTATGTTCTTATAATCGACAGGCATATTTCTCAACCCCACTGCTGCTACAAGATCCTTCCTCTGCTGGCCGCAGTCCCTGAGGCACAGTGTTGGTGTCCAGCAGCATACATCTCAAAGTCTTGGGTGCACACGCAAGTGACCGAACCCAGTCAGCCTCAGTGACCCTGACGGGCTAACGTTGCAAATTCAACCTCAGCAGAAGCCCCTGGAGAAACAATGCATTCTCGACCTCTCTGTGCAGCGGCACGATTCTCGGATTCAATATAGCCGAGAGGGGCATAAGATGCCAGGATGAACTGGCCCTAACATCCAGCACCTTCCGTCTGCAACCAGCCCCCCGTCCCCACCCATTCGCTTACCTCCCGTTGTCTGCAGCAAAATCTCGGATGGGTTATGGGGCTTCAGTCCCAATGCAGACAGCGGGGTCTTGGCCAGGCCGGGTGGGGAGCGCACTGTAGTCAGGCAAAAGAAATGAAATAAACCCAACGGTATCAAAAGAGGAATTAAATTTAAAGTGCAATAAATCCTAGAGTCATCTCGGTTGTTACTAAATGTGAGTTTATAGCCTCAGCGCTACGTGTGCTACTTAATGACTGTCATTATGTCCTGGCAAGGTGCATGTGCAACTGGAAACACTTAAGCCCGCTGGCCTGCAGAAACCCCAGGAATGCAGGAGCCGAGAGCAGGCCCCCTTATTAGAAGTGACACCTTTGGCTTCTCTTTTATGAGACGGTGATTCGGCCAGCCCCAATGCCGGCTGCGTGCGGAGGGAACCTAGACACGGGGGGAGACGAAGAAACCCCCTGCTGATGATTAATGGGCAGTTGCAGGAAGATGGATTGAGGGGCCCAGAGGGCGGGGGCGGGATTACAAATTCCTTTGATGCCCATAAACCCTGCTTGAGTGTGCTGGGAGCCTGAAGGCCTTGCCTCCTAGAGGAGAGAGAACCTTGGCATCGCCACCATTAGGGACAGTCCACCAGCAGGAATGACTTCCCGGGGCTTGCAGGAATCCTAACGCTGGGCAAGTCAGCAAAGTGACAGCCCCCTGGCTGGATAACAGCGCCCTCCATTGCCTCAGCGCCTCTCATCCAGGGATCTCAAAGCTCCTTCCCCAACGCTCACTGATTCAGACTCCCTGCCATGCTTAATTGATGACACCTCCACACCCTATGAGGGCATTTAGCTGCACTCCCCTCATTGGACAGGTTGGTAAACTGAGGCACACAAAGGTAACACGTCCTGCCTGCAGTGACTCGGGAAGTTGGCGGCGCAGCTAGGGCTAGAACCCAGGAGTCCTGACTTCCACACTCCAAAACACGAGACCACCCAGTATGTGTCTGCTGCGGGGAGAGGCTCATTTTCTCAAGGCACAGTTTGCCAGAGATGCCTCCAAGAACAGCAGAGGGTCCTGTGGCACCTTTGAGACTAAAGGTCCCTCAAAGCAGGGAGTCTCAAAGGTGCCACAGGACCCTCTGTTGCTTTTTACAGATTCAGACTAACACGGCTACCCCTCTGATCCAAGAACATCAGCATTTCATCTGGACTCGGACTGATATTAACATAAACACAGTGGGCCAGATTCCGATTCCCGTCCCCTAGATCTAAATCCAGAGGGGCTCCATTGACTTCAACTGAGATACTCCAGATTCACCCCGGTGAACAGAATATGGCCCTCATCAATTCAAACCACCATGCTCACCAAACAGGCCCATTACCTAATCTTTCCCTGGGAAAACTAAGTTAGGGCCCACACTTTACGTCGTAGCATTCGCTCTACCTACGGGATTCGTTCTGGTAGAGAGACCTAAACGGTGCCCATGACATGAACTTTCACACATATGGTGTAGATACACATCTGGAAAACCAGCCAGATGTGCAGCGACACATGTGTCACATACCCACCAGCCTGTTTACAAATGCACACCACATGTGTTCCATAGCTCTATTGCACGTATATATTATATAGAGAGAGGCTGGTATGTCGTATGTACATATAAGGGGGGGAGGGTGTATATATATATATAGCACACATACTATATATAGGGTACACATATGAAGCAGGGAGTGATGGAGCAAATGGATGCAGATGTATATGTGAGATGCGCGAACTACAAGTCTCACAAATAAGGCTTTATAGTGTGTGTGGGGGGGGGGCGAGTTCTTGCCGTTGATTTCTATCTCCCTGACACTGCATTTTACCAGCTCGAAACAATTCAGACTTTCTATTCTAACTGGGAGGAAGAGACCTCAGGACACAGAAGAGGTGTGGGAATGCTGCCAAAAGACAAACGAGGCTCCAACCTCCCTAAAGGAAACTTGACACATTCCTTTAGCTTTATCCACTGCTTGCATTTCAACCTTCTGACTTACAGATTCAGACGGGCACCCACGCTGGCAGCGGGAGGAGGCGGGAGGCAGGCGTGGAAACAAAAGCCAGTCCTCATGAGCTCACGTTTTCACGGCTGCGACGTTGGTCAGAACTGTTTGCTCAATGCAGATGAGATACTGGGAAACCAAGCAATTCCACGGACGGGCCAAGACGTTCCAGCCAAGTGTTACCGCTAATGCGCTGGGCCCGCTTCTCAATGGCTGGGGGTTGTTGCACGGGGGGGGGAAATCCGGCAGAGCCAAATGCAAGGATATGGGTTTAACCCCCAAACCATCATGAAATCTAGCCTGCAGTGAGCAGCGATGTCATGGTCACCAGCTCTCCTAGCGGAAATGTCTCCGCCGTCCGACAAACCACAGAAGCCCCAGCTGTGAGGTTCTGATCTGGATGAGGATTCAGATTTCCCTCTCATGGGAAAGTGGGCAGTTGGAGCTGGGATTCTGGTTCATAAGTGCACTTCCCCCAAACCTGGGGGGGTGTTTGGATCGGGGGGCTCCCTATGGGTCCGTCTGTAGCAGCAATAGGCAAACCTCAAAAGATTCAGCTCTGTTGTTGCTCGGGAGTTCACCTGAGCCTGCTTGGTCGAGAAGCTGGCCAGGGATGAGATGCAAAAGAGTCCCCGTTATGCACTGGGTAAGAAATGTTGCCCCGAGGGCACATCTCAAGCCTATACGATTAACCTGTCACTCTGAAATTCACCCTGCAGCAGCTGAGCGTTCAAAGTGCAGCCGAACGTCCCAGCCACACCCTCGCCCTTCATCACCAACGGGCGATGACCTTGCCCAGACGTGTGTTTCTGAGGGGAAAGGGGTTAAAAACAACTCTCCTGCTAAACTTGGTGGTGTAGCAACTGCAGCCACCGATGGGGGCTGAGCGAATCACAGATGTTTCAGTTCGCTGGAAATGCAAAAAAAATGTATTGGGATTGAACAGAAAACTCATTTTTTCAAATGAAACCCGAGATGAAACGTTTCAATTTCAACTGTTGGAAAAGGTTTTTCGTTTTTTTATAAAATAAAATGAAAGGAAATGTGGAAAGGAAAAGTCATTTCAAACCAAAACATTGAAACGTTTCGGGCAAAAAAAACCCTCCTAAAAATAAAATGCTGAAAAAAAAATCAAAACAATTTGACTAAATTGACGTGAATTTGGGAAAGGTTTTGGTGTCGCCAAATCTGCATTTTTCACCCCCCAAAAAAGTTTTGAGTGAAAATTTTTGCCCAGCACTAGTCTAAGGCCGTGGGACATCCACAAGGTTCAGAGATGGGAGACGTGGAGAATATAGTTTGGGAGGTGACTACCATGTTGGAAAATCTCTCCTGATCGGGACCAGAGCATCTCAATCAGGGCCGGCTTTAGTAAGTGCAGGGCCCGATTCGTGGGGCTTGTACTTACCGGGCGGCACTCCGAGTCTTCGGTGACACTTCGGCTCCAGGTCCTTCGGTGCGAGTGAAGGATGTGCCGCCGAAGACCCAGAGCGAGTGAAGGACCCGCTGCCTAAGACCCGCAGCACCGCCAGGTGAGTAAATATTAAAAAGGCCACTGGGCACGGGGCCCTCTTAGGCGTGGGGCCCGATTCAGGGGAATCGGGGCAATCGGCCTAAAGCCAGCCCTGATCTCAATCCATTTTCAGCTCTGCTATTGCACTTATAAATACATAGGACTATCAAACGTGGCCGTTGCTTTTTTTCCCAGTTGCTCAGCAATGCATCGTGCTGGTGCAGCCTGATTCAGCCGTGCCGTTGTGGCACTGGGACAGCGGCAGAACCGGTCAAAGCGGAATTCACTTCTTCCAAACCTACCACCAAGTTATCAAGGGTTAGCCAGGAGGATGCATGCTCAGCTGGAGGAGTCAGGAGGTCAGAACATGCAGCAGGAAGTTCGAGGGTCAGACTTTCTCAGCAACTTGCAAGGATCAGCAAAGCAACTGCTGAAACCTCCTTTGCCTACCTCAGGCTCAGCAGAGCACCTGCATGTTAAGTAGCATCTAACTTCCCTTGTCATTCACCCTTCCCATCTGCAACTCTGTTCAGGTAAAGGGGATTCACCTTGCACTCGGCTACACGCCATGGGCTCCTATCTGGCCATCCGGATATTAACGGTGAATGGATTTAAATGGACAGTGTCAACCCAAAATGGGCCGCCTTTAAAGGGAGTTGAATTCCATGCAATATACACACGTGCACACACAGCATGTCTTCAGCTAGGTACACGGGGGAAACATGCTAGTCCTTAGTTTAAGCTCTTTGAGGCCAGGACAATATTTGCATGATAGGACTGTACAGTTACCGACAGCACTGGGGCTCTGATCACAGCTTGTCAGTGGCGTAGTACAAAGGACTTTTTGCCTTGGTCAAAGCAGATCAACCCAAATAAGGGCTGATGCCAACTTTATCCTACTCCTGGCCAGCACGTATCCCGTCTCGGGGCTACAGAAACCCTCTTTGGGGACTATTTCAGGGAGTTTTAAAACAATTGCATCGGGACTATTTTTCATAACCTTCCACCTTCCAAACTAGCGGCCTTAGCTACCATGAGTCCAACTGTCCAGGACTCGGAGGAAGCCACGCAAATTGACCTAAAATAGCCTTTCTGTGCCCCCACCCCCCCCGCCCCAAAAGTCACTGGTTTAAAATCAACTCTCCCGTCCAGAGCTAGTAGCAGGTGCTGGATCTGAATGGGAGAAAGTTCCTCCTCCCGGCTTTGTCAGACTGGGAGGTGTCACCTCAAAGTGGTGCTGTCTCGAAAAGCTGCCGCTGACGCGGGACTGAGCGGAGATCCCTAAACAGCTCGGTAATGGAGCCAACGGTTTGGATTCTTCCCGCCCCAAAAAGATTTGCTTTTTTAACACTCTCGAGCTGGGAGGACGTTCGGTTTGGGATTCTGGAGAGATGTGCCGGGGTCCCTCTCGGAAGGAGGGGCTCGGCTGCGGAAGTGATTGCTCTGAGTTGAGCTTTGGAACGACACGCGGCCGTGATCGGAGATTTAGGCTGGTTGCTCTGGAGGGTCAGGATGCCGGAGAGTATCCCACAGCTCCTTGGCATCATGCAGCAGCCATCACTCAGAAGACGAAGCGGTGGGAGCCAGGGTGGTATCTCACATATACCATGTAGAGGGGAAACGAATTGAAATGGGAGCCTCCTCGGTATACAGCGATAGTTTTATTTTCAGGGTGCTTTCGTGACAGATAAGGGCGCGCCCCCCAACATAGGGTTCGATTATTTCCATCACGTGCCCTCAGGGGCCCCCAGGACCATGATTTTACACCCCGCTATCTGTAAAACGCGGCTGTCGAAATGAAATAACAATGAAACCAAGGCAATCTGCAGCGCGTGGCGTGGCGGAGGGCGGTGTCAAGCAGAGAAGAGAAGTGACAGAAGGAATTGCCGTGGGAAAGGGGTGGAGGGATGAGAGAACGAGAGAAAGAGAGGAAATGGCGGCAGGTGTCTGGAATTCGGAGCTGCTTGACCTGCTGCTTGTATCTGGCTTTGCTAGAGCCGCCCGCTGGTTCCCACCGCCTCCCGGAGCCGCGGAACTTACGCAGGTGACCGTAAGGGGTTTGCGGCGAGACAGGAAAGGCAGGGGTTGGGGGAGAGATCTCACCACCGCTGGAGGGTGGGCTGGGTGGAGAGGTCCCCTCCAGCTCTTCAAAGGCTTCCTTGTAGCTGTGGAGATGAGGCTGCGGAAGAAAGCAAGCGAGGCCGAGTCAGTCGCGGCGAGAGCAGACCCCAGGCAAACGCGGCCCCATCCTCAGCCACCCCCCAACCCAGGCTCACGGACGCTGGGGCTTCATTGCCAGAAAGAACTAGGGGCTTTCTTCAGCTTCTTTGTGGGTCTCTGGCAAGCCTCAGCCCCCTCCACCCACCCCCTGGCAACAGGGGTTGAATGGCGAGGTCCCCCTCCAGCAGCGCTGTCCGCATTACCAGGCGCCCCGCTACAAAGCAGCCGGGGGAAAGACCAAGAAAAAGGCACCTCTTTGGGCCTCCCTCCCGGGTTGGCGGCGATGCTGCTGACCACCTCTGGCGAGAAGCTGTGGACCGGCGATCGGGCAGTGGGGCTCCGGGGCGTGCCGGGCTCCTGGGGACCGTTCTCGTACTGGCCGTCGCTGGTCGTGCGTCTTCGGCTCAGCGGTCCGGGCTCCTCCGGGGACTTGTCCCGTGACTCCACCCCTGGAATTCAAGCACACGGCGGGAAGCACTCGTTAAAAAGGACGATGCCCAGCAACAGGCTCATCCCTTAGGGAGCCACGTGGCAGCTGGCACGTTGGTGATTTATCTCAGGCACGAGCCACTCCTCACCTGATGACTCCAGCTCCTTGGCATCTCGGGGCTCTCCCTGAGGACTCTTTACCCCCAAACATTTTTAAAGGGCCATCTGCACTGCCTTAAGGGGCCCGCAGAGAGACTAAGGTAGCTGGAGCCTTCTGATTCCTACAGGATAGGCACAGCATGTGCGGGAAATCACCCTGCCGCCCCGATGCCAACCTGGAGAGAACCAAGGAACGGACGTGCCCACTGCCAATACAGCCTTTGCTCTGCGTGGAGACCCAGCACAGTGCTACAGGGATTGGTGCTGCAGGAGGGGCTTGTGGTCAGAGGAGACACCGAGCAAAAGTCCTTATCACGTGTGGTCATCAAAGAAGCCGGGATCCCCTCCTCCCCTGGACCCTTCTCCCCTCCTACAATTCACTGGAAGAGCCAGTCCCACTCTAAGGTAACCCCAGAGATCTCTGGCATCTCTAGTGCAGTGGGCGGCATGCGCAACATACCGCTGGATATAAAATGGACCTCTATGGTGATTAGTTAGTGCCAGCACGGCTTCTGAGTGGCTGAGAATCATAGACTCATAGACTTTAAGGTCAGAAGGGACCATTATGATGGTCTAGTCCGATCTCCTGCACAACGCAGGCCACAGAATCTCCCCCACCCACTCCTGTATCAAACCCCTAACCTATGTCTGAGCTATTCAAGTCCTCAAATCATGGTTTAAAGTCTTCAAGGTGCAGAGAATCCTCTGGCAAGTGACCCGTGCCCCACGCTGCAGAGGAAGGCAAAAAAACCCCAGGGCCTCTGCCAATCTGCCCTGGTGGAAAATTCCTTCCCGACCCCAAATAAACCCTGAGCATGTGGGCAAGACTCACCAGCCAGACACCCAGGAAAGAATTCTCTGTAGTATCTCAGATCCCCCCCCATCGAACATCCCATCACAGCCGTTGGGCATATTTACCTGCTAATAATCAAAAGTCAATGAATTGCCAATATGAGGCTATCCCATCATACCATCCCCTCCATAAACTTCGCGAGCTCAGTTCTGAAGCCAGGTACGGCTCCTTCCTAAAAAGCAAGGCTAGGCTCTGACATCCTGGCCAAGTGGTTATTCTCCCAATACCCCGGGAATTCCACTGCAGACAGTAACTCTTCCCTTGCTGTCCTGCACGGCTGCTGCGCTGCCCGGACGATCAGAGACCTCGAGGGCTGGGAGGAGGGACCTCGAGGGGTCATCAAACTCAGTCCGCCCACGCTGAACCAGGACCAAGCTGGATGTTAGCGGCATAGAGTTTAAGGCCAGAAGGGAGCAGGAGATTATCCAGTCTGACCTCCTGTCTGGCCCAGGCCAGCCACAGCACCCAGCCACCCGCACACCAAGCCCCACGTCCAGAATAGGCACAAAGCTGCCTTTCACCCGGAGGTGGATGCCTGTCAATGATGGGGAAAGTGGCCTTTGTAACACGCAAGGCCTGATCCGCAGGGCACCTGCCGTTTCCACGGACTCCAATGGGATGGAAAATGCACCATAAATAACCATTAAGAGTTTGCATCTCCCATTCCCATCACACCTGCGCGCCTGTATCTCCGTTACACCCCAGTAGGAAGGGTGCTATCCCCATTTTACAGATGGGAACTGAGGCACAGGGAGATTAAATGACTTGTCCAAGGCCACACAAGTCATGTGGGCCAGAGCAGGGGATTGAACCTGGGTCTCTGGCTAGCGCCCAAACCACCGGCCCACCCCTTCCCTCTTGAGCAATCCTCCACCTTGCTTTGGAGGCTGCCAGCAGAGGTACCAGTTCAGGGCCTGGGTGGAAGGCCACTGCAGTGCGTGGGAGTTTGACTTAGCCAGGCATTGGCTCAGGCAGCCGAGCCAACTGTGATGGTGGCTTTTGGACAGGGAACCGGACGGAGCCCACAGCCATGAGCGAGAGCCATACAACGCGCTGCAAGGCCCGGGAGCAGCAGACGGGAGACAGAGCTCAAGAGAGACCCGGGCTGGCGGCGACGGGGTGGGCATCCTGAAGGGACCCTTCCGAGCAGAGGGGCCGAGCAAGTCCAACTAACTAAGCCAGGGATGGTTCCCACAGCCTGAGCGCCCTCCCCCTGCCCCCGTCCACGGGAACAAGCCCTAGAGAAGTGCATCTCAGAGCCTGGCCAGGGAAAATAGGTCTCCGTGCCAGGAATCTAGAGCACATTCCAGTCCACTTCTTTGTTTGCATCCCCGCTAGCCCCCGTTTTCCACACACACGCCCCCCCCGACCACCAGCAGCCTGGCTGCAAAGAGGTGTCACCTCTGGGGAGAGGCTTGCAGGCTTTGTAAAGCTGGGGATGGGAACCAGAGCCGCGTTAAGGGCTGGGTTCTCCCCCTGCCCCCCAGCTCTTCGCTGCGAGTGGCAATCCGCCGGGGAGGAGGGAGCAGGGTTTGGCCTGGATTCCAGCGCCTGAGTGCAGATGTCCACTTTAGCAGAGGGGGAGGGCGGCTGTCTCCATGGCAATGACACCAACTAACATGCAGCATCTGGCCCAGCGGGAAATCCCGGAGGGAAGGAAGGAGCGGGGAATTGCTAATGACGCCGAGCAAGCATCACTTTACAGCACGCTGTTCTGCTAAGACAGGGATCCTAGCTCCGTTCCCCCAGACCGTGCACCGATCCTAACGACACAACGGCGATTAGCTAATTAACGCTCCGCTCGGCGCCATGCTGGCAGGTGGAGAAAGACTTTTACGCCCATTCTGCAGATGGGGAAACTGAGGTACAGAGCGGCTCGGTGATTTGCACATAGGGCACCCGTGGCAGAACGGGCTCCCGGCACCAGCTCGAAGCTGTTTGATCTGATTTCTAAAAGGGCCCGCGGGATTGACGTGAGCCCAAGGAATCCCGACTCCAAAGGCCGGGAAATCAGCCACAACCATAAGAAAGGCTCCTACTTATGCCAGTGTCTTTTAGCCCAGGGGACCGCTATGGGTTTCACGTGCTGGATTTACAGATGGCCACTGAGGGACCAACGTAGGAGCTGATGCTAATTTATTTACTCCCACAACGTCCCCAGGCAGAGAGCTGATTTCCACGGACCTGCACCCGTCACAAAGCTCCCAGCAACATGAGTAAGCCATCAGCAGGCAGCCCTCAGCGTGGCTGGGCACGGGGGCTGGACTGCTCCTGCAAATTGCCCAGCATGCTTTGGGTGCATTTCCTCCAGGGTGGGGGGGAATGAGAAAATGGTTTGCCAAGCCAGTGGGAGGCAGCGGAGTGGGCTGCCCAGGGCGGTGGGGAGAAGACTGTACCGGGGCAGGGCGGGAGGGCAGCAGGCTGCATCAATGAGCCAGGGAGGGGGCTGCACCGGGGTGTTAGGAGGGGATGGGGAGCCGGCTCGAGGCGCATTTCCACCCATTTCTCCCTACTGCCTAGGAACCTCACATTTAGATCCTGTCCAGGCAGACGCCGCTTTGGAGTTCCCATGACATTGGCGTACGTGGCCCTTTAAAGGGGGCTGCTTAAGAAGCTGAGGTCCTGTCTGCGCCGTGGGGATATTAACGATCTCAGGGCACTTTGTGTCAGTGCTGGGGTTTGGCCCGGGCCCAAAACATCCCCATCTCCTGTCCCTGTTCTGCTGCGCAGCTCTGCACCCCAGAGGCGAGTGCATTTCAAGGCCGGGAGAAGTGACCTCTGCAGAAATCGTTTGCGAACACGGTGGGATCCTTTGAGACGAAAGGTGCCTTAGACGCACGAGAGACTGTTACACAGTAAACTGAAAATAAAACTGGTAAGCACAGATGCACCCTCATTACCCAAAGACATATATGCTGCCGGCACTCCCCCTGTAACTCATCTTTGCCAGTAACTCCCCCTGGTCACCCTCAGCAGACAGACACACACATCGCGGCTTAGCGACACTCAGCACTGTTCTCAGAGCCAGGGAGGAAAATGCTAGAGACCAGCTGGGGCTGTCTACTGTCCTCTCGGATATACACTCTGTCCTTTCATCAGCCTCGGACCAGTTTGTCACGCACAGCCACTCTCTCTCTCTCCCCTTTGGGAGAGACCCTTATAGACCCTGCCTAGAGGAATTTAGCATAACATTGGGCACTAGAAAATGGACTGAGAACCCCAACTTCTTTCCCAGAGGCCTCTGAAAAGCCATCAGGTTGGCCCCGGGCTCTTCCTGACTTCCAGAGAACTATTCCTGAATCTCTGAAGCCCCCGCCCCCTTCTTCAGATCTTGAAAAATCTGCTAACGAAGCGGGGAGGACGTTGGCTGCAAGTTCCTGGCACACGCTGCTTAGGCTCATCGCTGAAAGACGAAGCCTTTCCACATGAGTTTCTAAATAATAATCACAGTGACGATGATAATCACAAAATCACCATGCTGGGGAGAGGCAAGAGAGCTGAAAGCTGGCCCGCAGCCCCAATGGAGTTTGCCCACGTAAATGATGCAGGCTGGGAAATTCCATGAACAGCAACTTTGGATCCAAATTCGCCCATCCAGCCTGCTGGAGCCTGCCGCATGTGGGTCATTTGCTGAGCGTACCGGCAATTGCAGGGCCAGTGAATGCAGAAGAAGCCACCGAAGCGGAAATGAGCCACTCTGTGGGTCAGAGACGCATTGTGCGGGCTGGGTGGGAGAAAGCTCGTCGTGAGCGGGCGGTGGCACGCCAGGCTTCCCACAGGACGGTGCCCGGGGCGTGAGAAGCTGTGTGGCGGAGCCCATGCTGTCCTCATTGAACGGGGGACAACCAGCGTTCACAATATCACACTTCCAGGGGTAACTTCCTACCCCCTTTTGTTAAGTGACCCCCCGAGATGACTAGAATGGAAAGGAAAAAACCTTTGCTTGGTGCAGTTAGTAGCATTTTGTGTCCAGTTAGTTAGTTAGGCCCACGGCCCAGCAGCTTGAAG